GCAGACAAACAGGCATGAGTGGGCTCTCCTCCGGCCAACGAAGGTGAGCTCACGGCAGCCCTCTGGGCTTGCAGCAGGACAGACATGAAGCCTATGAGCTATGTGTGATGTATGTTAATTACCTGACATACGATGGTGTGTGGATGGTAGTGGCCGTTATTTGTAAAAACCACCCACACACTCACCCACATTGGCTTCCTGGGTCAGCCTGTGGCAGTCTGATACTCTGGGTCTCAACCACCCCATCTGAAAAGCAGGAGGAGGTTGAGATTGAGGCTAATGTTTGGGCACGTGGGTCCATAGGAACCTTCTAGCACTGAGGGAGAGAATGTGGAATGGTGCAGCCATCCCAGAAAGAGAGCTGGGATTTCGAGAGTAGAGTAGACAGAGACATGCAACCTGAGACAGCAAGTGCATTCCAAAGTGTACACCCCAAGTGAATTCTTGCATAAGTCCACGCACACAGATGGGCAGCGCTGAGCTGCCTGTGGTAGAGGGAACAGGAGGCCCCCTGAGTTAAAGAGGTGAAATGAGGAGTGTGTGTGTCATGGAATACCACACAGCGTGTGTGAAAACCACGGCTCCTTCAGCTCTTGAGAGGGATAACTCTGGGACGTGCTTGCACCCCATCTCTTAAAGCTCCATCTGCCCTGGAAACAGCTGGCTTCATAACCCACTCATAACTGACTGCCTCCTTCTCCCATCTCACTTCCTCTTCCCAAGTAAACTCCTTGCACCCAAACCTTTGCCTCAGGATCTGCTTCTAGAGAACTCAAAACAAGACAAGTGGAATAGGCCACACGGATGGATCTAAAAATATTGTGCTTAATCCTCAAAATAGTAGTAGGTGGCAGAATGCAACATAGAAGATGCCATCAACATAAAATGAAAAATACATATGTACTGAATAACATCAATTTTGCAAAAATACCTCCAAACAAAAAGATACACATTAAATAATTAAAATGGTCACTGATTGAGGAGAGTTAGTTAATAGGCAAGATGGTTGCTAGAAACACACCGTCTATGTGTGATTTAGAAAAAGGTGCCCGCCCCCTAGGTAGAAACGCCCTGTTAGAGCAGGAATTGATAGGCAGATGGAAAGGAAGGAAGGGAGAGGGAATGAATGAAAATCTGAGAGGGGCCTTGCATGGAGCAGTGATGATGCTGTGCTATGCAGAGTGGGAGTACACAAAGATCTGTTTAAACACTAGCATTTATTCTAGGATTTAGGATTTCTACTTTTAGAACTTGTTAGGACAAAGCCCTCCTACCTCCCACCCCAGTTGTTAGCATCTCTCATTGCATCACTCGGTTGAAGGGAGGCTGATGACCTGGGGTCCGAACGCAGGACCAGAAAGAACCCTGGCTGGGCAGCACCTTCGCAGCCTGTTTCAACCCTTGCCCTGGCAGTCCCCACCACTAATCTTGCCTGTTGACCCCCAGGTCACTGACACTCCACGATGGCGGGCAGCGTGTGGACAGCTCTGGAACTCTCCCTTAGCTGCATCTCAGCCCTCAGTCTCATCTCCCCTGCCTGGTTCCAGAGCCCTACCTTCTCCTTTGGTGTCTTCACCTACTGCTCCTGGCCTCAGAGTGGCAGCTGGAACCAGAGCTGTGGGACCTTCAGATCCCTGGATGATATTCCTGACTTTGCCTGGAAGGTGAGACCTGGGCTCAACAGTTCACTGGGGCCTCGGGGGCACTCTCAATCCCGAGAGCAAAAAAAATAAAAATAAAAGCCAAGTTCTGTACCCCCAACCCCAGCCTGAGCCTCTGACTCTGTAGGTGTAGGGTGGAGTCTGGCTATCTGCATTGTAGCAAACACCCAGGATGATTCTGAAGGCAGCTGTCAGCACATATAGTGCCTTTGTGCAAATTACAAAAAGCAGCCCCTTCTCCAGGATACTATACTGCCATCTGCTGGAAAGTTACTATAATCAATATGCATCTCTTAGAGTTGTGCAGTGTATAACCTGCACAAACCTACCCGGCCACCCTCTAAGCACTGCTAGGCTTGAAAATCACAGCTAAGGTGCTAGAAGTCTCTGTTATAATAGATATTACCAAATTCAACATGGGGACAATGGGCCAGGACTCCCAATCCTCTAAGGAAGATTATGCAGCCTTCAAAACTGATCATTCCAAAGGTGCCTTTCCTGGTTATCCTGCCATATAGCAGGTATTCAAAACAGGTAGGGTACGGTGGTTGTAGATCTAGATCTTAATTCTGGATCTACTACTTAATTAGCTGTGTGCCCTGAGACAAATGACTCTGCCTCTTTGGACCTCAGTTTGCTTATATGTAAAATGGGGATAATAATAGCGCAGACCTTCCTGGGGTTTCCAGGACTCAATAGCTGGCCAATTAGCAGAAGGAGCATCCTCCCACCTCCACCCTGGTCAGCACCCTCCCTCCTCTCTCTCCTGGCAGGTCTCGGCTGTGCTTCTCCTTGGAGGCTGGCTCCTGTTGGCCTTTAATGCGGTTCTTCTCCTCTCCTGGGCCCTGGCCCCCAAAGAGCTGTGCCCCAGGAGGGGCAGTGGCAAAATTCCGGTGGTTCAGGCAGCTGCAGGTAAATCCACTGTCACGCAAGAAGCATTCCAGATCTGTCTGTGGAATGAGTGAATGAATGAACGAACGAACCTGTGAGCAGGGACTGGCCTCCTGGGTCAAATCTCAGAGATAAACCCTAGGATTATAGATTATTCTTTGTTCCTTAGCAAGTTGGAAATGGGGGCTGGGTGGCCGCATTATCACTCTCCCTGCCCTTAGCTAATAGTCTGTCCCCCTTTATCTCTGTCTTATCCATCCACTTTGCATCATCTTTGTCTGGACCACCATACACAGTTGGGCAGGTTGTGCACTGCACAAGGGTACCCAGCTGAGGGCTGAGAGATGCTAAAATCTAGCTTATGCTCTATTTATTAAGCTGTGAAATTGTAGGGTTGCATCTGCCCAAAAGGACTGCTTTTCTCCAATTCACACATAGTCTCTGGATGGTTTAGCCAGTCCTTGATGACAATCATCATCCAATTAATTCTCCACCATCTATTACCTGGATGAGAGCAATAACCACCTCATGGGTCTCCTTGCTGCCACCTTTGCCCCTTAGACTCTGCCACACACTGACCCAATGGGTCCTGTTAAAACTGAAATCATGCTACTCAGACTGGCTTATCTACCCGCCAGTGACTTCCTGTGACATACAGAGTAAAATCCAATGAGGCTTATCCTGGTCAAGCCCCCACTCCCTCACCTACCTTATCCTTGTGCCAGGCTCCACAACCTCCAGCCACCTGGCATACTTTCTATTGCTCGTATACACCAAGCTTGTTCCCTCTACCTGGAACTCTTCTCTCAGATCTTCACATATCTTGTTTCCCCACTGCCTTAAAGGCTCTGCTCAAATATCACTGCCTCAGTCAGGTCCTCTATGGCCTCAAGGTAAGGGAGCTTTCCTCTCCTTAGATTCTCTTTCCTTTTACCTTATTATATATATATATTTTAAATTTATTTATTTTAATTAGTTTCAAGTATATAGTACATTGGTTAGACATCTATATAGTTCATAAAACAATCCCCCCAACTGCTCCCTCCCTCCCCTGGCCCCGCCTAGCCACTTCATATTAATGCTAACTGCATTCCCTATGCCACGCTTGTGACCATCCATCAGGTGCTAATTTGTACTTCTTTAACTCTTCACCCCATTCTCCCAGTCTCCCAAAACCCCCTCCCCTCTGTCCGTCACCAAATTGTCCACTATATTTGTGAATCTATTTTTGACTAGTTTGTTCTTTTTATTCCTTAGATTCCGCATATAAGTGAAATCATAAAGTGTTTATCTTTCTCTGTCTGGCTTAAATACCTTCTAGGTCCATAA